TCACTTATTTTGAAAGAGTATGCTGAGTGCAAAGGAGTTAATATTAAGTTTGACAGCACATTTTTCCTGATGGACTGTATTTGGTGTACTTATTGCCTTTGCTCGGACAAGTACTTCTGTCTTCATTACTAAAGAGGAAAAGTCACTAAAGTTGTGAAATCAAATACAATATTTTTGAAGACGACTTCGTGTACCGACCGGTATACACAGGTCTTTAGAGAATTTAGGTCTCCAGTATTCTAAAGGTGCGATTTTGTTGATGATACTTCCGATGCTGCAATAAAATATATTGGTTAGTGTGTCGGTATTGTTCGCATTCAAGGAAATTCTACAATCGTTGTATTTAGGTAACTGCGGAAGTTATTCCAATCAACCTTGTGATAGTCTGTACGAAGTATTACAGTTTTACATCTACCAGTTGTGTTTTTTATACTAAGGCTACATACGAAAATGTTATGATCACTACCTGGAATCTTTTCTCCAATACACACAGTATTGGGGTGAGGTCATTGGTAAAGACTTAGCCCAAGATATTTTTATGTCTGGTGGGGCCACTGACATACAGAGTCCACTGTCTTAGCTCTAGAAATTCGAAAAATGATTCATAATGTCTCGGAGTCTTGACTGGAAACGAAGAAATTTCAGGCATGTTGAAGTCACCACAAATGGGCTTGCCTGTGAATGGGAGGGATGATGCTAGTGTGAATACATCTGACAATACTGCTATTCCACCTATTGATGCGTTAGGTTGACGTTAGACGCAGCCGAGCGATGGTTGACATATGGATACAGAGCTAAATCCGTCTTTTTATTACAGATCGACTTAGCGTTGACAAAACATATATTAAACAGATGGCCCAGTAAGTTAAAATGAGTGGGAGTATCTCGATGGAAGTTGTCATAAACCTCGCGGATGTGATATGGGTTTGAAGTGTGGGATTGATTGTTCTCCAATCTCTTTGTATTTTGATAGCTAGAGTTAGTAGGGGATGTACCATATGAGCTAGTGAAGTTGCTTGGGGAGTTTACCTAGGAGGAAAGGGTAGGAGTACTCTCTGATGGGAAGTGTACGGGGAAGCGAGTTAATGTTCATCATGTGTTTTGAAATGAATTGGGCTAAATGCTTCGACAGGGGTGCCACTAGAGGCTGCATTACAAAAAAATCTGATCAAGTTTTACTGTAAAGTGTACTGTTATTTGCAAAATAGTTTTAATGGTTAAGCTCGTAGCCTATTTTATAGCTATTTACGTTAGCGTGAGCATAAATGGGTGTGCTGCACGTAACTGTTATTATACATGGAAGCTGCTTTTATGTGGTGAGTTGGTACTGAAAGGTGTGGAAAGTTTTCTTTCTGAGAGTAATTACAATTGCGATCCTGGGGAATGTAGATAGGATGTGAGGTGAGGAACCTATATTTACTATGCTTATTATTGGTTTTAGGCCTTGGAGGGTGAATGTAGTGATCAGTACTCTGGAAGTTTTTGTGAATGTGCGTGTAAGATGGTTTGTTACGCTCAAGCCTACCACACGTTTTGTAACTTAGAGGTGTTGTTGATAAGTTACATGATACCAGCAGGTGGAATTTATGCACTGTTGTTGGGATACCCACAGAACAGATGGTCTCAACCTTACGTGTTTCCTTATTATGTATCGTGGATTTTGTCTCCCCAAACTTTTTGTCGGAGCTGAAGGGTTTCTTTGCCTCTGTGAGATGAATTTAGGCTCATTCGAGTCATCTTATAGTGCATCTCTAGAGGGACTAACTTTCAAGTGAATATAATTAGCTGGATGTGTGTCGTCACACGGCTCACACTTTACTACTTTACTGAGCGAACAGGCGGGATCAGGGATGTCGTTATGCTTTTTGGTGACAGTTTGAAACCATATCTTGTCCAAAGATTTCTGATATGCAGACTCATATAGATCTACGGACTGACCTGCCATTTGTGGAATGACATCATGCTTATTGATCATGCTCTTTATATTATTCACTGTGTTGCAAGCGGTTTTTGGCCGGTTATTCACTATAACTCTATCATACAATTCTATCGCTTCACGTCTTCTTACACGACGTTGACAGGGCGTTAGGTCATGAGTGACTTTTATGCTCTTGTGTGGAATTAAATAGCTACTATTTTTCTTTGAATCAATAATTTGTTTAATATCGTTACAACAGATAAACTTAAATAGGAGAGGGCAGGTCAATCCGTCCGACTTTTTTCTAAGGCGGATGACTTGGCAGCTGACTTTCAGCATACCGCATATGTATATATATATATTATTATGTATTGACCGGGTTAATACTAGGATCAGAGATTATGAGTATATAACTTATGTGGGGTATAAAGTGTTTAGTTATAACGTAAGGGGGTACTGATCAATGGAATATTTTTATTTCAACTAGTATAATCTAAAGATAAACAGACATCAATGTCAATTGCTGGGGGGGATATATAAGATATGTATGAAACAAAATAAGCTATGTGTATGTATTGACTGGTAAATGTCCGTCAACTTCAGATAGATTTATTGTCAACTATTAGTTGCACGTCGCAACTCAACCTCCATAAAGCGCTTTAAATCTCATAGTGACAATACGAGTTTACTAGTATTAATTACATTCACACGTGAGAAGTGTTATTCCCCGTAATTCTATGACCACTGCACTCTATAAAACATCAACCTGAGTAACCCACTACACTGAAGACCATATCTTCCGTAACAGTTTGATCTTGTCTGTGAACTGACATGACTCATTTAACAGACTGTTATTTGGGAATAAATTATTATTATTATTAAACACATTCTTAATTATGCTCAAAATGTTATTAGGACTAGCTCAAGATGTTTCCGAAGATTTTTCTGTGTTATGATGGCGTTTGGATGAATCGTTAAAGATACGTACTAGAGATAGTGATCGCATACGAACTTTTGCTTTTAATAGTATAAATGCTTGCCCAAACTTTTTCCATGGTAAATTATTGCACGAAGTGGTAGAATAACAGTAATGTTAAAGAGATGATTAGTTGATAAATATGAACCATAGTATTGCTTTTTAGAGGAGGATTTTTGTCGTTAAAAATTTCTAACATTCAGTGTTTTTAGAAATCCAGTGATACCATTAGTTGACCTTCGTTATCAATACATACAATGAATCTCATAGCTTGATTTACTACCTGACTATGCTAGGACTCAATCCTTTTGTTCGTGGGGTTGCTCAATGTTAAAGCATGAACGTTGTGTGGAGCAGACTACATTTCTTCACAGTTTAATCAGTATATTGTCAGGTAATATCTGACATCTGGTGCCATATTGATGTGACGCATAAGCAGTGATTTAAACCATACAATGAGAACGATTTATAGCTTGCTGTTCAATATGTCCAGGTCGTACCGACTGAAACAAATAAGATGTTACCAATGTATCCCATGAATGTATACGACTGTTAGACAACGCACGAAATCACAAATAACTTCTTACTAAATGTCCGGCTAGCGTGAGCAGGGAAGAGCACTATATTTACGTGTCTATACGTAAGGCTGACAGCCATTACCTCACCCCAGGCACAACACATCACAAAGTTCTCAGTATGTGATGTATCTTTATAACGCTAGTAAACATATCTAAAGTACATACGACATATATATTCAATTCTTTTCTCGTCCATGCAAACATAACAGGACGCACACATCCACAGTATCCGTTAAAACGAACTGGAACAATGAGTATGTACGGCTATGTTTATGAAGTAACACTAATCTTTCGTTATTCGTGTTGCGCATGAAATCAATGGAAAATAGCTCCAGAAACCTTTTACAGATTCCCACTTGTTCTCGAATCAAAGAGCTCCGTCCCTCCGAATAGAACCCTCGAAACATTCCACTTTTGAATGGTACACTGAATGAATCAAACCGAGTAGGACGAACTAGTAAACAAGTCACTCCGCACTTATCCGGAGCGATTTTGAACTGCATGTTCTCCGCATCAAATACATGGGTTTCTTTGTACAATTCTTTTTCAACTACTCCAACTAGTTGATTGAATTCAGAAGACAGTATTAGTGTGAGTCATAAGTTTTCTCTTCCTCAATTGACAAATGCCTATACCGTAAAGCATTTTTAATGGTTGTGAACCATGCTGAATGACCTAATAATGTACTCTCCACTAAGTAAGGCCACTGAGGCATGGGGGCATAACCGATCCTTGCCAAAAATACCAATTCCCTGCGGTCTTTTTACACCGAGTATGAACATATGGACGACAAATAGATAATTATATCACTTAACAGGGATTTTTCCACTTTGTACGTGGAAGTAGGGCGTGAATCCTATCTGTGCCTGTTATAATTACACTTTTATAACATGATGACAAACTTGTAAGGCACTTTTGAGTAAGTCCTATATCAAGAACCTCTGAGGTAGGACTGTCTGCCAAAAAGTATAGGTTAGATCAGTCGAACTACTCTCGGAAGTAATTAACGTAGCATTACTACTGAGTAAATGGAGATAAAATCTGGGCCGTCAGAAATGGATGAAATATGCAAGCTCACCTCCTGCTTGCCATATGTCGACAATTAGAAAGAACGACACAGATGTTTTATTTCTCGGAACGTCAGACTAAAACATACAAAATACATGACTACATGTCATTCGAGATTTTCTGGAACATTTAGATCATTTAAAGGCACACACATTATTAAGTTAAGCCAGCCTAAAACCATTCCACTGACCTGAGGCGCTTCAAATATGAAATGACCACCTTGTGGCAAGCCGATCAAGGTCGCTAAAACGAAAGAGAGGTGATTTCAATTCTAGGCTAGTTTTTGTTCTGTGCTGATGCACTTGAGGACAGCTAGTTCTGGCTCTCCTCTGTTTTCATCGTGCAAATCACGCACTGTTATTCAGAATATTGGTACATAAACGTAATTACGGCCTGTTCACAGGTCTCTTGATGACGGAAGACCCGAAAACGGCGTCCAACGAGAAATTAGTTAATTAAAATGGGCATCAAAAACATTTGTAAATTAGCTGGAAAGTTGGGTAAAATGATTGAGCACTATAGCAAATTTACCCCGGTTTCCCTGAGTTTAAAAGACCTTCTATTATTTGGTAATTTGAAATAAACTTATCTTACACTGCGATTTCATTTCAAGGTGAAACTTCGCCAGCATCCAAGTCATTCGATTTTTTGAAATATGAACTCCCAGTTCGACTGGGGAATATTATGCAGGAGATCCATCTTTTACCAGATGTCTTAAGGAAATCAAGATCTATCCAACAGATTTGTTTATTGTAAGGTCGGCTCTTCTGCTTGTCATTTAAACAGGTATGAGGAGACATTCAATAGCATTATCAAGTATGGAGAATGCTCAACGAAGTCGCCTTCCACGGTATCCAGGTTTACGGATGACGTTGACCTTATCTTACAGAAGCATTCGAGGGTAGTTGAAATAATGGCATTGGTAAGCTCGTTACATTTGATCTTATGGTACAGGGTATCAAAGAAATCCAGAGTGATGGATCGTGGTCTGAGTCAGAAGAGTTGCAGCTACAGTATTTTTTGGATCGGTTTTACGTTAGTAGAATTGGTATTCGGACTTTACTGAATCAGCATTGTAAGTTTATCCCATACGCCTAGTAGATTACTTACAGGTGTTTCTGTCACCTATCATTTTGAAGTAGTTAGTTTTGTGCCTGGAGATGAGTATAGTTTGTTAGGCTTTTCCCACACGTTAATTATGAAGTAGGCAAGACATTTTTTTTGTCAACTAAAAGACGAGTTTACTGCTCAGCAGCTCACTTATCTGTGGATATGGAAAATGCCCCATTAAAATACTAGTATATTCTTAGGTTATTAGTAGGTGCTCTTGAAGCATCGCTCATATATTTCGGGTCCATTAATTTAGCGATTCTAAGGCCAGGCTCAAAGTGCTAGGCATGGCAAGTCGGTTGACAACGTGGTGAATTTTTATCGACTGAGATGGTTGGGACATGTATCACGTATACCCATCCACTAACTGCCTTAAGGCTCTATGATGGCTAATATTGAAGTAGATTTTAAGAAAGCTAGCAATGGCTAAACCAAACTGTAGCATCAGTCCATAACGACACTGTTGAACTAAGTCATGTAGGTCCAGACTACCTGGTTCAGGTCAGCGTGATCATCGTAACCGGTGTTTAGAGACTTTGAATAGCATAACTCGAAATTTCGCACAATGGCGCAAGTTTATCTTTTTCTTCCCTTATACCCTTAGTTTATAAATTGTTCAAGCTTTTTCTCTTAGCTTCACTAATCTGCATTTTTTTATTGAGTTATGTCTTGGATGCCTAATCTTTTCCATTACCTTTGTTACTGTCACTGACTTTACTACTCTTGATTCGCTCTGACAATTTTATCTCACTGTGCTAATAGGGTGTGACAACTAACCAATGTAAAAATGTGTGATGTTTTATCTTGCGTTTGAATGACCTAGAGTTTGTGCACCTGTCTTTTTATCTGACTGACATTTATCCCCATAATTAAGTCTTTGATAATTGAAATGCTCTTAGGCACTGAGTGTTTGAAATAAGGATTTCAAGAAATTCGGAAACTTAACGTGCGCCAAGCGTAACTAGGAAAGTAAATAGAGCTGAATTCGTTTCTAATTTGTTCTTTATTTGCAAACTGATTTCGTTTGTTTTTCAAATGCAGGACGTCTAATAAATAAGGTTTTAAGTTTAGGCTTCTCATGTACACTTCATTTTCTCTCAACCGTTCTCCTTCTTGGTTTTCTCTTAGTGTTAGTATTATTTTTTAATGTTGTGCAAATTATGATAACTTGAATGGAACCACATAACTTATTAAGACTTCTGTTATTTGGTAGTGTAATTTTAAATCGACTGTAAGTTGTAGTCATGTTTATCACTTTATTTTCTTCGCTCATTGTCCAAAAATAAATTATTGTTGCATTGTTTGATTTATCTAGATTCTTAATAAACTCATTCTTTATGACTTAGCAATGCTGCAAATCAGTATTTCCTAGTAGTCGATGCAGTTTTATGTGTTAATACCTACGAATCTAAATTTTATTTTTGAGTCATTTAAAGATTTGTTCATATCTATGGTCATGTTTTGCACATGTTTGTTTTATGTACCGAACTCTGACCACTACAGTCATGTTATATGGACCCACACTCTGCAACGTACAGTCCCACGTTGGGGGTATCGACCCAGATTGTAGCCCAGTTCAAATCGCAGTAAATGCATACAGTTACTCCAGACTACTGTGTATTCAGGCGTATGGTCGTGCACCGGGGTGTGACATTGAAATCCACGATTGTGTAAATAAAGAGCGTGCATCTGGTAGTTTCAACAAGATTGATTTTTGTGTGGACGCAGCTGGTCATGCGTCGACCAAATCTTATCTTTTGGACAACCAAATGAACTGTGCAGATTTATCTGTGAAGGGGAAAGACATAACATTTTGTTATATACCTGGTCATTTGTTTTATATGTTGTATGAATTGTTGAAAAATTCGATGAGAGCTGTTACTGAAAATCATAATAATGATGGACATTTGCCAAGAATACACATTCTTATATGCAACGGACCTGAAGATATCGTTATTAAAGTGAGAAGTTCAGCTTAATTTTAGTGTAATATTTTTAACTCATAATGCCACCACGTCATAATTTTTTGTGGTTCTTATATCTAATTAGATTTATTTAATAAAATGCATCAGAAATCCCAGCTTAGTAACCTTAAATCATTCTTGATCACTGGGCCTGATAATAACAATTTTCTAAGGTTCTGGTTGATTTAGGGTGTTGTTATTCCTAAGCATTTAATTAAGAGTTGATGGAGAATGTCCATAAAATCAGTCTTACATGTCAACCACAGGCATGATTGTGCATTGGTACCAGTTTCCACACCACATATCAGCATAGTGAGAGGAAATTAACACAATACGTAGCAGAGGTGTTCAAAGAACAGTAATACAAACCTTAGTAAAATGAATGAATAGATAACTTTATTCAAAGAAGTGAAGTGGAATTAGGAAATTAAAGGTTTAAAAGGGTATTCAGAAATCTAAATTTAGGGGAAGTGAGCATATTTCCGTCACTGCTAATATTTCAATTTGTCATCTAAGGTTTTCAACCGACATACTTTGTCGCATGGGCTCCAACCAGGTAGTCAACACCCCCACACACTGCTCGAATCAAGAGTTCATAACTGTATAGACTGATGCTACATCTTGGTTTGACTTCTCCTAGTTTTCTTTTAACTTGGTCCTATGTCAGCGATGATTGCGCATTGGTTTAGTTTGCATGAGACTCAAATATCGCTATTGCTTGAGAGCAACTAAAAAAGTCAACTAAGTTGCTCAGAAATTAAACTACGGAATGTCATATATAGTGTTTGAATTGTTTAGGAAAAGTAAACAATTTTTGGATATATTGCGAATAGCACAATCGTGTTCCACGTACTCATTCCTATCATCCCTCGGCTTTTTCAGCTTGTTTTGTATCACTTCCTATGTACTGTTAGAATTTATTCTCATTATTTCGAAACTAAATGTTATATTTGTAGTATGCCGAATGTAATTAGTTTATCAGTGTTATATTTTCTCTTATTACGACCCGGCTACTCCTATTGTTTAGTATTCTTGGGCACTGCTTTACTCGAAAAGTCCCAAAATCAGAACACAATTTAACAGGAACGTAATTATATTCCAAATAAAAAGGTTGGATAGAAGTATGAATCACAATAAGAGAAATGTTAGTATATCTATAGTTTTCACGTAAGAAGATTCTAGAGTCTTCTCCAAGTATTCACTAGCGCTGATTTGCTAAGAAATCGCCAATCAGCGTGCCCCAACATAATCATCTGCGGAATGTGCTTTAATCAGTCCTATATCATATATCCCGCTAACAATCAGTCACAGGTTATCTTGATATAAGTTGCAGTATGTACTTGTCATATGGATGAAGCTCTTGTTTAATAATGTTATAATTATCACTTAGCGAAAAATCCCAATTCGCTTATGCATATACAAAGTTCACCACACCTAAGTAACTTTAGTCCCTCATAGTGTTACGCGTTTCTGGTTTATAAAATTTGCACATCAATTCAGAGTTGCATAAGTTATTATGCCTTCTCATACTTACCTAGTCTTAGTCGTCAGGGTTCGAATTATCACATTTAAGTTTTCTACGCAACCTACTTCACGTAGTTAGATATCGTGGATCCTTATATATTAGTCATAAGTCACAGCTTCGGGCACAAACTTGCAATAAGATAAATGGGTGGGAACATTTGTATTTAATAACATAGCTTAAATAGTTCATTTGAATTACGGCTAACAGATTCATACTAGATAATCATCAGTTATACCTTAAACACATTAATCGATAATACCACATACAGCTTCTGGCATTATCATATCAAAAGATTTATGTCACTCTTTAGTAATCAAAGAATGAAGTTCACTAAAACCGAAACTGAGAAAAGTATATCAGCAAGCCTGAAGTAATTTGATTTCTATAAAGGTCTATAAAGGAAACAGAATATGTATTTTTGATTGCAATCGATCATAGTTACTTTGTTCCTCTAATTACCAAGATTTAGCGTACTTGAGACTCCAACTAAGATCCCTATGCTTTTCATTCATCTTGGATAAACAACTAGTGGCCTAACGGATTGTTTCTAACACTAAAGTTTTTTTTTCACTTACACTTTGTCTATAACAATATATCAGGGTAAGTCTTAGCTACCCAGTGTAACTTATGTAAATTGTCCACCCTTGTTTTTAAATCGAGATCTTCAATATCTACAAGTCGTAGGTTAGACCAAGTGTAAGTAATATTTTCTTACGCATGAGCAAAAAATATGTGTAGCTTTTTGTCCTGGTATAACAGCTCTTTCTTGTGAATTTGATCAAAATAAATACACTGTTGTTGTTTACAATTGATTGATCACTGGGTGGTGATTAATGTCATGTATGTCACGTCCTTCTTAGTGAAGATCGAATCCTATCGACGAATTCGCAATGTGGCTACTAATCTAGGTGACTCAACATTGCGTGCACTATGTTGAGATAAGATGGTGGTTGGAGGTATTCAACAGGAAACCCTGAACCTAGGTTTCGTGATACTTGGCACTCCATCAGGGAGCACCAGTTCCCTCAAGGTTACAAGTACACCCTGCTGACGAGTGCCAAGTAACACGAAAGCTACGTCCAGGGTTTCCTGTTGACTACTTCCAATCACCATCTTACACTGTCTCTGTAATATACGGTTAGGTATCTCTCTGTTTCGAACATGCTTGAGTTCGGTTTACGTTTATATATTATTTCATGAAGATCAAGTGGTGAGCACACTCTGATATCTTGAATATTATTTAAGCATAGTGTCACGAACTCATTTCTCGTCGTTTAGTAACTGGTTGTTTTAACCAAAGTTTCATATCGCTTTCTTCACTTGATATAGTATGGTGATACATTAGTATTTACTTGATATTTCAAGTAACTAGTACTTTTTATTCTTAAAACCGAATCTTTTTATCTTGATTGTTTCCACTTATGGGTTTTGTAACTGCAGAATCAGTTTACTTGCATATAATTCAATGAATGGAATTTTGGTAACCGACATACTCTTTTCCGGAACGGTTAGTATCTTTTCCTCATGTATTCTTGCACATAATTACAGTGTTGAGAATCGCGTAGCCTTTATCTTAGTATACGATTTTGAAGTTTGTTGTTCACAATCCGATTAAGTTTCGATAATTGATTATCTAACTGGTCTATTTTGGCTAGGTTATTGTATGTATTTGACTTCACATTCATTGTGTAGTTGTTTCACGTAATTTTCGTGATAATTTTCTACAAACCACCAAACTGATTCAAAAGTTTACCTGTTGATCAGTAGAATTTCTTTGAGTTATTGACCTAAGTTTTCAAATTTGTTTCTCAGACTTTTAATTGGACTACCTATTTTTTCCGATAAAATATTGAGATGAGTACATTGGGATTGTTTGGGATTGGCCAAAATATTCCATTCCTTTCATTGATGAAGTGTGTTTCTATGATTAGGATGTCTTTATTTGTGTTAGCCCTCAAATGCCCTGGTACGGCCGAGAGTGGGAAGAGTCCGCTCTCCCTCTCGAAATGCTCTCACATGGCCACGCGAATATATAGCCTCTGCCAGGGAAGTCCTACTCACTGCTTTCTCGTGGCGGGGGTGTTGTTTACGAAAGTGAGAGGACGAAAATCAAATGTCCGGCGCTTTAACCGGGTTGGTGGACATGGAGGGTCCACCTAGGGGAGTTGGAAAACCCTGATTCCAAACCAATGGTGCATATGGGCTCCAGGATCCTGAGGGAACAAATGGCGTATGAACCAATCGTTGGTCACCGGTTACCATGGGACTGTATCTCCTTACGATGCTCCACTGCCTTGTGGATCAGACCTTTCGGTCAAAGGCTCGGGGTGTGGCCCCCTAAAAAACCACCTGCTTCAATCTGGGCACCTGGGCAGTATTTCAGCCCTCACACAAATCAAATGAGATTTGTGAGGCACATATTTATCTGGTGCTTCCTTGTACCAATATTTATTTGTTTAAATAAATAAATAATAATAAATATTTGTGTTAGCTATCAAAAATGAGCACTTTTGTACAGCGTTGTAAATCATTTTATTTGCCTTTCCATATCATAGACTGGAGATATATATTAATAATGTCCTACCGTGTCGTATTACGACTTCAGTGAAATAAGTCAGGAAATTATTCAATCTTATATTGCCATATCGATAGTAAATTTGAAGTTGTTTCCCCTCCCTACAGATTACAGATTTTGGTGGAGGAATGGCGTTAAATATGGTCGCAAAAACATTTCGATACAATTATACAACAGCTGTTCATCCTGCAAATCTACATCCTACTGCACTAAATTTTAAGGACAACTATTCAACAATTCAATCAGCCAATCAAGTGACAGTAAGTGATCGAATGACATATGAAGTTGAATCAGAACGTAATGCTTGTGTATCTATTGCTGGAAGAGGACATGGTTTACCATTAAGTAGACTGTATGCTAGATATTTAGGTGGCAATTTAAATTTGCATTCTATCGAAGGTGTAGGTACATCAGCATTGATTTACTTAAAAAGACAATCACAAGATGCTCATGAATTGATCCCACTATTTAATCATACATCAAAATCTGTTTATGAGAATAGTATACAACAACGTGATTGGGTTTCTAATTCTCAGCGAACTTTATTTGAACCGTTCACGACACCTTAATGATGGACCACCCTTTTCTTAACTATTCTGTTTTAGTTACTTATCTACTTTCTTATTCCTTTTTTGGAAAAACAATCTATCTTGCCATTTCCAAAATAATACGAATCAATTAAATTGTGTCTTTCACATATCGTATTTTATTATTATCATATATATGCCCTTATCTTTATATGCCTTTAATGAAAATTGCAAGGCAATGAAACAAAAGGAAGCAAAATGATACCAAGGAATTAACTCTCCGTACGGCCTATATTTTAAACGCATTCTTTTTGTTTGTGTATATTGTGTGTCCTTTTTTTAAATTTTTTTGTTTTTTAATGCTCCGACCTATTTTATTTGGATGGTCAAATAGGAATAATAATATATGACCCATTCCATACAATAGTTTTTGTTTGTCTTTAGTTATCAAACTCAGTTTAATAAATCTTTCCTCATGTTGCAACCGAACTATGGTTAGACGGTTTACATATAGTGGCCATCCATCGGTCTTTAATAGCTGGGACCCCATTTCACCTATTATTTGAACGCTCAGAGTGTGTTCACTCTTCTTTGAACAATGTTGTGTATATTTCAAAACACTTATTAGTTGGATTCATAGTTGACCTAAGAGTGATGATCTTAGTATATATAACAGTTTGTCCTGTATGTGCAAAACTACTACAAGTTGTGAAGCGATAAAGGCTGCTTAGTTTAAGTTTTGGGATTCAGTTATTTGAATCATACACTTTTACGAGTAAACTATAGAACTTTGAATTTCCATCCATTCAATCCATTACGACTACTATTTGTACATCACTCAAGTGTTTGAATCGATCACATATTGAACCAGCTATCTGTACTGTTAACAAAAATCAAACCATATGTAAGCGTCATTCTGTTGTTTTCCGTTATACAACTACCTCAAGTAATTTCATATCGTAAGCAACCTTTTCGTCGCACAAACTGCATTCTTTGCTAACGATATCTTCCATACGATTTTGTCGAATGACGTAACGATTGGTAAACATTGATAATGTTTGTTTTAGATCATAGTTCTTTACAACGATTCAAAAGTAATATTTTGATACCAGAGTTTTTGGTATTTGTAAAGAGAGGTAGAAATAGCCGGAGAACAAAGAAAACTCTCATTTGTTGACAACAAGTATAGTTAAAGTGACTGATTTTGTAAACTGCAAACTGACAGTAATTGGTCAAATCACCTACGTTCTTCATCTTACGTATTTTCATTTTGATCTTTATAGTTAATTGGGTCATAGTTGAGATGCTATGGGTTTTTATGAAAATGATTTCATACATGTCCCGAAAGATTCTATTGGTTGTACCTTTAATTGATGTCTCTCAGTTATCCTACGTGGCTGCATTCCGATTTAAGACAGTTATCTCTATGGCAGTAAATCTGTATGATTCATTGTCTTAAGAATTAAAGGTTACCGACGAAAGTAATGAGGGATTTATATATTTAAATAATTAATGAAAGGATGACTGGTTTATTCAAAATAAGTATATATTGAGTAACTATTGATGGAAGATAAGGATAATAAGGGGTGCTTTTTTCGAAATAGAGTACGGAAAGCGAATGTCCTGCTCTTTAACCAGGTCGGTGGGCCCAGAAGATCCTGGTTCGAAATTAGTGGTATTGAGTGTGATTCAGAACCACTAGTGCGAATAGGTTCCAGGATTCTGAAGAAACAAATGACGTGTGAACCTACTTTTGGTCGCCGACTACCGTAGGGCTGCATTTTCTAATGTCACCTCAATGTCTTGTGGATTAGACCTCTAGGTCAAAGGCGCGAATGCAACCTGTTTCAGCACGGTCACCGCCGATATGCCACTTGGCGTCCTCCCTCAGCATCTCAATTCTGGATTCAAACCGATTTCAATTAGCTATCTCTCATAATTGTGTACATGACTGTCGCTCCTATTGGAGTACTTATCTTGACTCTGATCATGCCTTTGTTTGGGCTAGTCTTATCTTAGGTTTCAGTGGTCAACAAATTCATCTCAAACGGATCTATGTTAGCGGGTTGGCTGGAAATTCTGTTGCAACTAAATATCAAACCGGGCTAGGTTCAAGGCCACCTATCAACCTAACGAAAATTATAGGTGAACATTGTGTGCAATTGCATGATACCATGAAAATGGCAAGTAAAGTCGCTAGTGGTTTGGCGAAACATCCCACTTGTTATCACTGTGTTTCTACAGTCTCCTAACAACTCATTGAGACACAGGTCTACTCTGGGTGACCATGGCTTTGACCTCAAACAAAGACATACGTAGTGAAATTATGCAAAGCTTGTGTAAGGATTCAGAAGCCTGGTGGTCTAAGCGTGCCACTCAGTTGGAAGCAGCAGCTGCTTCTGGTAACTTCCGGAAGCTCCCTCAACTCACCGAGTTACTGTCAGCAAGAAGTGAGGTGGGAGTGAAACAATCTGTGAAGATGACGGGATGCCAATCACTAAAATTTTCTGACGTCTTGTTCAGAATTTTCCGAGGAGCAGTTCAACTGGTCTGCTGCCCTGAAGATATCGGTCAGACTGTCCTGTCATCCTTAACCAGTGTCGACTGATCCATCTAACGGGCCGGAATTCCGCAAGGAACTCCAACTCTCGAAGCGCCACAAATCACCAGGCCCAGATGAGCTAGCTTTAGCCCTTTTTAAAGATGGCAGCAGCCTTCTGGCTAAGGAACTGACTGAGTTGTTTACAAACGTTTGGCAATTAGAGAGCGTTCCGACATCCTGGAATGAGTCGACCGTCGTTCACTGAAAAAGGCTCACGCCATCTATGCAACAACTATTGGGGGATAAGTCCATTTCCGATTGCGTTCAAATTATTGGCTTCCGTCATAAATCGTAGATTGTTCAAATCCCGCAGATGGTCTAACTCCTCTATTCCATACACACTAGCAAGTGCAATAAAGACGGCTAGTGTAGCAGCAGCCTCTATTACAGTAGGCCTCAACATACACAAGGGAAAGAAAACAAGACTCTAAAATACAACGTAGAGGGTGTCAACCAGATCGCACTTGATGGAGAAGCTCCGAAAGAGTTGGAAGCCATAACATACTTGGACAACATCATTGGAGATGTGAAGGCACGAATTAAGTTCATACAATCGAGGATTATCTGTAACTTAAAAGAAACTACCCAAAATCGAAGCTAAAATTTTTAACACTAACGTTAAGATAATTCCATCATGTGGATCTAAAATCTGAAGAACTACCATCACCATCTTCAAAAATGTACAGGTAGTTATAAGCAGCTGTCCTCGCAAGATAATCCAGATCCATTGACCAGACACCATCAGCAATAACCTACTTTAGCAGATAACAAATTAGTTGCCAGCTTAGGAGGAAATCAGGAAAAGATGCTGTAGGTGGATAGTACGCTTCACAAAATATCAATTCGCATCACAAGGCAAGCCCTAAATTATAATCTTCAAGGGAGAAGTGAAAGAGGCCTATCCAAAAACATATGTCAATGGGAATTACAGGCACATATCAAGACCGTGAAATACGCTTAACAATTAATGGAAAAGAGAGCCAAAGACAGCTGGTTTGAGATTTCTAGTTGCCGGCCTATGTCCGAAGAGGGGCAACAGGTTTAAATATTTGTAATTGCATCATATTGACTACCATTTCTTAATCTCAAGTTGTATTTCTATGATGATAAATGACTAAAAGAAGTGTCTGTTAATCGACCATAGGGCTTAAATAAACTAAGATTTTAGTGAATCCTTAAATAAGTCAATAAACCCGTCAGAATACTCTGATATAATAGATTTAACATAATGAAGGAATTTGTTTAATTACATGTATATCATGTATTTGAACCGATAAGTCTGGTTTCATAGTAAATTCCTGTTCAATTAATGTTTATTATACTACCTAACGATAAAAAGAGCAAACTTTATCAGGAAAGAATTGCACGTTAATGACTATACTATTACAGGACAGTAATCAAATAACTAATACATATTCACTTTCCTTTTTCTGCAGTAGGAAGATCTAAATGTCTCCCTTTAAGTGAAAAGGGAAAAAAGTTTTCTTTCATCGTCATTATTTTTCACCTTTAAAATTTTTTTTGTTCATTGTAATTGCATAAAAATTCGGCTGCTGTAGTGATTTTTCAACCTGTTGGAGATGTGTTTCATTTTAATTTCTGAATCACACCAGTACTTATTTAACGAAGAAATTCCTGCATTTTATCAAACAAATGGTGAATATTGTCTAGTTAAAGAAGTTTTCAGTTGCTGAGCTAAATAAGTTTCACAATTCACTTCTGTTTTGTCACAACAGAATTTTAATGTTAAATAAACAGATCATCCGACTGGGCAGGTTAAACAAACAACTTAAGCTTAATTAGTTAATTAGCGGAAAGTCAATCAGGTAATTTCAAGGCTAATTGTTTAAGTTATGTCAGTCTTTAAAAGAACAAAATAAATGCAAATAATATCAATTTCTAATATTTTTTTATTATTTTCTGTGGTACAAGCTACAGTGATTGAAATTTGAATTACACTACTCAAATTCTAAACTATTTCGGTTAATTATTTCATACTTTGAATAAACAATAATCAGAATAATAGACAATCAACTCAGAGTTTTCATAGGATTCAATTAAAAACAATGTTTGGTTTTCTCAATCTAACTTTTAATAATTGGAAATATTCAGGGTTGATGGGCTATAGCGT